GTTATTATTTCAGATACAAAACAATTTGTAATAAATTAAATAAGTTTTTTGTCGATAATACCACACAAGACACGGAAAATCTAGTTTTTTAATAATAATTCCTTATATAGGTCATTTTTCTATATCCAACCAATCCTGAAGAAATTTTGAAAGCTATACACAGAGTATGCAATAAACGATCATACGGCGTCGATGGTATTCCGGGCACTTTATTAATCGAAGTTGCGGAAATATTATCGTATCCTTTGTCAGTGGTCATTAACCGTAGTTTTGCACAGGGGATATATCCCGAGATACTTAAAAAATCTCGAATTTTGCCAATCTATAAAGGTAAGGGGGATAAACGCGAAGCAAAAACTATAGACCAGTGGCCCTTCAGAGCCAGTTTGCTAAAAATTTTTGAATATTGTTTTAATCAAAGGCTATGTAAGTTCTTAGAAAAATACCATCTTTTATCTCCCCATCAAAATGGATTCAGGGCCAATTTCTCCACAGAAACGGCACTTAATAATGCTACAAAAAATATTGTAAAAGGCTTGGAAGAACGAAAATTTGTTTGTGGTTTGTTTTTGATATGACCCGTGCTTTTGACTCGGTGAATCATGAACTTTTAATTCATAAATTAAACTGCATGGGTATTCGGGGTCCTCCTCTGAACTGGCTAAAATCGTACCTGTCTAGCAGAACTCAGTTAGTTGAGATAGACGGTACTAGATCTGAATGGAAGAAATTAGCCTAGGAACACCTCAAGGCTCTTGTCTATCGCCAACATTATTCAATGTATTTATTAATGATTTACCACAGAAAATATCCACTTATGGTATACCAATCCTATACGCGGATGACTGTAACGTCATAATACAGGCAGATACCCATAGGGGAGCTAACTGACAAATGCAACTGGACAGTCCAGCAAATGATGAGCTGGTGTTACCATAATGGACTTAAACTAAATGCTTCCAAGTCTAATATAGTAGAGTTTGCTACAAAGAATAGATCCCTCGACTATAGTTTGTTGGTGAAAGCCGAAAATCGTTCTCTTGAGAGTGTCGACTGCAGCAAATTCCTGGGAGTGCATCTAGATCAGAAGCTAACATGGAGAGGCCATACCAAGTCAGTAACTGCAAAGTTAAGTTCTGCTTCCTTTTTGATTAAAAACTTGAAGCATACAGTTTCTGGCGAAACAATAAAACTGATTTATTATGGATTGGTACAATCTGTGTTGGCGTATGGTCTGGTGTACGGACACTCCGGTGAAGTGGGTTCGGTTTTTGTGGCCCCAAAAGAAAATAGTAAGAATCATGGCTGGGAGGGTCAGAAAGACTCATGCAGGCCATGTTTTCAATCGCTAAATATTATGACTTTATATTCTTTGTACTTATATTCAATTATTGTATTTACAATTAAGAATGAGGAAGAATTATCCCGACGGCGGGAAGTTCACAGTCACAACACCCGCTACAGAGATGAATTTGATATCCCATATACGCGCCTTACTATGGGGCAACACAACCCATCAATATTTGGGAGAAAGTGTTTAAACAAAATGAGAAGAGTGTCCGTAGAGTTTAACTCTCTAAACCTAAACAAAAAAATAAGTTTAATTTAAAGAAATTTTTTATATCAAGGAGCTATTTCACTCTAGACGAATTCTTCCGGAGCCGGAAATTCCAGGCTTGTCAGCACATATATAATAATGATTCTTCTTTACAATTGTTTTTGTTTGTGTATAAAAACATGTATAGTTGTTTTATATTTGTATTTGTATGATTTTCTGTCAAAAATTGTTGTTTTCTGTATATATATTTATCGACGATCCTATAATCTAAGTACCATGTATTTATATTAAAAGGAATTAATAAACTAAACTAAACTAAACTAAACTAAACTAACTTCGTAAGTGTTATTTTTTAATATAATTATGGATTTTTTAATAATTAAATAATTATCTTAAGTTTAAATTGTGGTAAACTTGTTATGAGTTTCAATCATTTATATTTAAAATCTTAAGGAAGGCAATATAGATTTTAGGCAGAACAACTCAAGGGAAGGACTGTCTAATTAGTAATTAAAATTATACATTTTGTTTACTTGCCATTTTTCTTGTCTTTCACGTTGCACGTTCACTCTTCGTTGTGTCACACACAATCTGAATTTCGGATATGATGAATTAGACCAAATATATTAATTGCAAGGTATACAAAGAAATATTTTTGTTAACTTTGCAAATACTTAAGGCCTGAAATAATTTTTAAAAAATTTGACGTGAGATTGCTTCATAATTCTTGAAAGTCTTGGATGATAAAGATTTGAATTATTATGGGTCTGTTTTGTTTAAGAAGCTAACAAATAATTTCAAAAACTCAACTATCAAAATATAATGGTAGAAAATGTTTAAAAACTTGTATAGGTATAATATTCCATATCAATTGGACATACTGAATGTAAACTAGGAATACATAGTTGCTGCAGTCGATAATATATTTTGCTGCTTATTTTCCTCATAACAAAAAACCGTCATTACCGCTACTCACATTATGGGCACCTTTTTATACTTAAATCTCTTAATGATGTTTAAAAATACATATGTAGCTACATACTATAAGTAGTGGTTGTCACGATTTTTTTATTAGGTATGATGAAAAGAAGCTGCAAACTATCGTTGTAGCCAACTATATTTTAATTTATTTTTATCTACAGTAACTATGCACGGTAAGGGTTCAAAATAAGCCTATACTGTGAGGCAACTCAATTCGAGTATAAATTAACACTTACATTCCAAGTATCTTCTTGGTCTACCAGGACCCCGGTCATCCTTATTCCACCATTTCTATAAAAAATAGTATGATTTATAACTTTTAATTTTTATTGAGAAAATTGGTAAAATTTTGTTGTACGGCGAATTTAAATTTATGGACCCTCCATAAATTTACACCGAATATTAGTTAAACCTAGGAATACCCAGGTAATAGCCAGAAATATGCAAAAGAAGGGGTGAGTTTAGGTTAGATTAGTATTAGGTTTTAGTGGGTTTTGAATTAATAAAAATATAAACCTAATCTAAACTTAATCGAAACTGACCCACTTTTTGGTATATTTCGGGCTCCTACGTGGGCAACAGGCAACTTTACGTTTAACCAATATTCGGGCTTTTACGGTAACATAATACTCATTCTGATTGGTTTAATCTGGCACCATAACAAAACTGTGGGTTCGAAGTGCTATTGCAAATTAATGCAATTAATTCTATGTATACACTTTCATAAAAAGCCATCACGATAAAAATTAAATATAAAAATTATTTAACATTGCGAACGGTTCACTTGTTCACTATACGTATCTGGAATATATTTGCAAATGGCGATCAGCGATACGATGATGCGTCAAAACCTGGGGACACGAGCTCGAGACATTCCAAATTTGCTGTGTGGACGAGTCTCGCGAGAACGTCGCGAGTCAACCTACGGAGCCTCATTGCTATCCGTCCCCTGTCGGTTTTCCAACGGCCGATCAAAGAAAGCTCGAAAGTCTGGACGTGTTTTTGGTAGGCCCGCCCGACTGCGAGATATTAGCTCTGATTTATAAATTTCGACCATTTAAAATTAAGTAATCTCAAATTTTTAAATCGTACACAGTATGTATTATCATTTTTTCTGATAGAATTTACAAATTTTAAGTCACTGATAATTTTTACCCTACGGAAATCCAACATTTCTTTAAACAAATTGAATTATTACAACATCAATTAATTTTAGATATATAATATCAAAAAATGGCAAGAAAAGTTACCAAATTGTACGTATTTATAACCCAATAATAAAATAAAAAATAGGGTATTCCCATTAGAAAATATGTTATATCCGCAACACTTTTTTGAATTACCCTGTGGTAAGGGCATGCCCGTGTTAAAATGTGCTTCTTAACCTTACCAATAACTTTTTTATTTAACATTTTGTTCTAAAAACGTTAAAAAACGTACTATGTAAAAAACGTCGTGTAAGGGATAAAGTGGAAAACAGCCAAAAGGGGTAAAACCGACGATGAATACCATGTTAAAGACCGAATATCATATTAAAGAGACAAAAATTTATTACTGTATGCGTTATTATTTGGCCATCGTTTGTTATATTCAATTGCAATTTAATATGTGTTTGGCTTTCTTTCACTATGATCCCACTCGGCTTGTCTCGTGGCAGGTTGGCGTAAAAAATGGATAGAAAATGTCTCGCTCTCGTCTCGCTCTTGTCTCGCTCTTGTCTCGCTCTTGTCTTGCTCTCGTCTCGCGCTCGGCTTGTCAGGTCTGGACGCACCATAGACTGCCGGAGTGGTGACGTCACGAATGTCAAATTGCTTTCCAAACAAGGTTTAGTTCTTCCAAATGACGTCACAAATTAATATAAAATGTAAAAAAACAGGTGATTGCCGACAACCGCCGACTTGTAGCTGGTATTTTCAATACGCCTATGATGGTTGCGCATGTTGCAAAATCTGTGAATTTTTTATTACGAGTTTTTTTTTAAATAAATAGTGTTGTGATACTTTAAGCTTAAATATGTTTACTAGCTGACCTTGCAGTCGAACATTGTTCTTTTTAGAACCTCTTTTAGTGCGAAGTGTACAAGATAGCTTAACAGCTGTAAAAAACTGATCGCAACTTTATATTTTAAACAGGAAAGCGGTAGTAATGACCCTTTATATCCCTTAAGTGTTGTTAAGGTGGTGAGTTTTGTTGTAATAATACTGTTTATATATTTATAATTCATTTATTTTTGTTTTCTAAAATATTTTGATTAAAAGAAAATATATAAAAGTGGCTAAAGCTGTGCCGGTCAAGCTTAATCACTTGATAAAAGTTTATTTGATATGAACTATACCTTGATTTGTTTTGAAAAAAAACTATACAATATTTAAAACGTAATATTTATGTCACTATTAATTTTATAGTCATAGCATATTTCTGATTATGCCCTTTACTTAACCCCCCCTTTCTATTCTTCCAGACACGCCATCTTTCGCCATATCCCGCGAACCCGGCTTCGGCTTCCCCATCAGGGAGGGCATGCCCGTGTCGCTCAAGTGCGACGTGGACTCCAACCCCAAGGCCAAGCCGGTCTGGCAGAAGGACGACGGCGATCCGCCCGTCCAGCAGACGCCCGACGGCTTCCTCAACTTCACGGAAATCAGGCGGGAGCACAGCGGCTGGTACAAGTGCATAGCGAGGCACATGCTGAACAGGTTCAGCAGCATCGGCTATTTTCTAAACGTCCGTAAGTATTAGCCTTGATTATGTATAAATAGATGTACAATGAGGGCTTAGTACAAGCCCGTCTTCTAGGTGGCGCCTTGCCCGTTCTGAATTTTTGTATTCCCCTACGATTTTCTTTGAGGGGAATCCGTTAAACCCGCCCATCGTTCAAAAATGGAAGGGCGCGAGGTCACATCTATTGGGCCACTTATTAGCACGTTTCACCCATGTTTTACGAAAATAGCTTTATCCTTGTTTGTTTCAACTGTGACAAGAAAAAAAAGGAAAAAAAGTTATATTCGCTTCTAAATTCGGCAGTTTTGTTGATCTTTCTCGACTTGTAATTTCGTTTCGTTTAGGTTATGTCTTATAAAAATAAATATTTATAAGCTTTTGAATTGAAATATACCTTAATGTATATCTGAGTAATTAAAAAATTCAGTTTTTTCGTCCCTCGCGAAGAAACATAAACAGTATTTGTGAAATTTGGATTAGAAACTATTATTTTATTAGTTTATTTTGTTGTGTTTAAGTGTTGTGTATTTGTACCTACTGGATAATATTTTCCAACATATTTAATTAAGCAAAAAGCATCTGTTTTACAGGTAAGTAAATAGTGTTCATATTTATTTCTAAATTCATATAAATTTGTTTTAAATCACTCTTGGGAAAAATGTTATAGAGTCTGAGATAAGTTTAATAATAAACATTTGATAGATTGATAGATAGATTAAACGATAATGCCCAGTTTGCTTAAAAATTTAAAAAATACTGATTTTATGCTATAAATTATGTTTCATTTCTTACTTTGCTTTTTGGAATTGTCAGATATATTGTGTATTTTATAATTTTTCCGAGAATTTTTCTTAATAACTTGATAACGTAAAATATTTTTTATCTACAGTCAACCCTGTGTTTAGATAAAGCTTCATATCAGATTTCCTATTTTATATTTTCACTCAAATCATATTTTTTGTAAAATATGCTTGCAAAAAGTAGCGTAAATTTGACAGGGAGGTATTTTTATAGATATACAGGATGATTCAACTATATATTTACTTTTAAAGTTATTAGTTATGAGCAAAGGTTATGAGTTTGTGAAAAGAAAGGCTATATTTTGTATTTTTGCTTGGTGGATTTTGTTATTAAATTGTCATTCCAAAAAATACCATAATGTCGTAGTCGTATAGAGTTCATTTTGACCAAAGAATATATTTTGACCCTTTTGGATTGAATTTTATTGTTTATATAATAAAATATATATTTAAAGCCCTCTCTTTCTAAGTTAAGTTAAAAATAGGTAATATCGACGTTTTTACTGGAACTAATTTAAGTTAATAATTAATAATTATATAATTCATATAATAATATTAAAATAGACTAAATTGTTTATTATATACAGGATGAGTCAAAACTAGATATTATATTTTTTCTTTGCTATTTCAAATGAAACACTGTATTTTATATCATAAATCAACAAAGCTTTTATGCAACTTTTGTTTTATTAAGATCTATATCCCAAATTAATAGTTATTAAATTGTTTTCAATTGTCTCTTTGCGAATAAACATGATTTGTTTTACGCAATTTTTATTAGTAGGTTTGTCGTCAAAAGTGATGTATCTATTTATCAGCGACAAAAATTAAGAATTAGATGTCTAAAATAATTTCCTAATTATTTTTTACTTGGCATCAGTAAATATGATTTATTTTATCGATGCAGCTGAAAATAATTATCTATTCTAAAAGAGGACATTGCTGTATAAACATCGATTATGGATTTAAAATTATTTTTTCAAAACAAAGTTGGACAAAATTTTTGGAGAAAAAATTGGACTTCTGTTCGAAATAATTGAGAAAAACCCAACATCTAGTTTTGACGCCCCCAGTATATATCGTGCATTATAGTTGATTATACTGCAATTTATTATACACACGTAGTTTTGTTTGGTGAAAATGAAACTTTCTAAAAGTATTCCCAATTAAAACATATTAAGAATTTCCTACGTTATAATTTTGAAAGACATTTGAGTGGGCAGACAATTTGGTCTAAAATAATCATATGTCTAAAAAAATTAGTCTAAAATAATCAAAAACCACTTAACACATATAACTCGCTTTTAAAAAATCTAAAAGAAATAAGTTTGTTTATTATATTCATATTTTATTAAATTATTATAGGTGTGACTGCTAAGTGGTCGTACTCGCCACTTTAACCAAGCATTGGTGGGACCTTCAGAGATCATAATGCGAATTTCTTCATACCATGTAAATCTATATACATGTATTAATAAATGCGTTTGCTTTATTAAATTTTTTTTCTTATACGGTATGAGCGAAAAAAAACGGCGTCTATTTGTTTACGTACAAATGACATCGATATTCATTTCCAAACCACCTCTGAGGCCGTTTTTTTTTATCGTATGGTATATATTTACATATCCCTTATCCTTTAATTCCGATTTATTTCTAATAATTATAAAAATAAGATACCTGATTAATTCTTCCGAAATATTATAAAATGAGATATCACGAAAGAAATAAAGTTAATTATCTCGTTTGTTTTGGGAATTCCAAAAAAATAAAAAAAAGGGTATAGAGAATCTTTAGAGACACAGTTCAAATGTTATTTTTGAGTATACTGGTTGCTTCAAAAAATGTGGCGGATACATGTTTTTTAATGCAAAACTCCATTTTTATTTTATTTTCGATTCTGCCTAAAATTCTATAACTTTTTTTTATAAATAACGTTAGTAAGTATTTACAATTTAAAAAAAAAGTAAAATTTTATTCCTATGTTACTTAACTGTCAGTTGTTTCCGAAGTTGGACTACACAAATTTGGTAGGAGTGTTTTACAGAGATGAAAAAAAAATATATTTATATGTAAAAATACTTGCAGTTAGATGCTACACTGTGTTCAAACATTTTTTTTGGCTGATCCGATATATATATTATTATTTTTTCTAGTGATTTTACAAAACCTTTCAACATTTGTTAAGAAAGTATATTAAGTACACCTATACTCAACAGCTTGCAATCTGTTCTGAATTTTATCCTTCTTTTAATTCATTTACATTATAACAAGTTGCCATATGACAAAACAAAAATTATTTATTATTAAACATTAAGTAAAGTGATTTATTTAGTTATATGACATTCTTAATAGAAGTTGAAGGATTTTGTAAAATCTATCAGAAAGAATTATAATATATCGGGTGTTTTTCAAAAGTAGCTTGATTGATGTATTCAATTAGTTTCGGTCATTTCTTGTTTCACCGGAAATGACTACAACTTTTGGTTTTTAAATGGTACCGTCGGTATTTTTTTACTTTATTTTGCAGAATATGGCATTCTCAATAGAATAATTCAATGTCAACTTTTGACTCTTTTACTTAAAAAATAGTATTTTAAAGTTCAATCTAGTAGAGTGCCATGATAATAAACAACATGTAACCGGTCGTAAAGATAACGACAGTTTGACTCGACATACGGAGTGTGTGGTACCAAATTATTTACCAAAATTAGGTACCAAAATTTATTAGGTATCAAAAAATGCTTTTCCAAATATGCTAATGAGCCACTCTCGTTTCATTAAAAAAAATTGAGTTATGATTAAAATACGAAATGGGCATATTTCAACTGACCAGGAAAAGACACAAAAAATATTAGACGACCAAATCAATTTTTCCAAAGCTCCTTGATTAATCCTTGATTAAAAAATAATGGTTTTAACACAGCCATGACACTAGATTGAATTTTAAAATGCTATTTTTGATTTAATTGAAAATGTCAAAAGTTGACATATGATTGTTGATGTCAAAAGTTGTCATTCTATTCAGAATGTCATTTTCTATCAAATAAAGTACCGTATGATCGAATAAAAACGGCGTCAGCAATGGCTATGAAATGAAAAGCGCTGTCATTTTATATGTAAATTTATATGAGAAATGTCATCGATGTTCATTTCATAGCCATCGCTGACGCCGTTTTTATTCGATCTTACGGTATAAAAAATACCGAGGGTACCATTTAAAAATCAAATGTATACATTTCCGGTGAAACAGGAAGTGACCGAAACTAACTGAATACGAATCAATCTCGATTTATGTCATATACCTACTAACATTCCCAATTTAGTTTTTTTCTCGGAATCTGAAAAAATAAAAAAGTTATAGAGGTGAACCACTTTAAAAAAAAACACTCAGTATAGGCTGTGTCATTGAAAGAGTCTGCAGATATTTTTTTAATTTTAAATACGTAGAATTAACCATTAATATATGTTGAACACCCTGTAGCATCTGCCTTAAATATCTACATAGTATCTAATATTTTTTCTTCATCAACAAATTGAAATATTAGAAAACTAGTTTTAGGTTACACCATTATACAAGGATTATACATAAAAAAGTAATAATTTTACGCAGGATCTAAAATAAAATAGGATGTTACATTTAAAAAAAAAAACATTATGTTAAATCCGTCATACTTTTTACAAAGTTACAGAGGTAGGTAGGTATAGTTTCATATATTTTTTAATTATCCATCTAGAAATAAAATATATACATATATACCTAATATAATCATTTAGTATTTAACAAGGGGCCATGAAAATCAAAATAAATATAAATCCATATCCAAAAATAAAAAATGTAAATAACGCTTTGAGGTAAAAATTCGGTTCAAAGCAGATAAGATATTTTATTCTTTGCCGAGAATTAAATTCGAAGAATTCCTAGTCCCTACTTCTTTGCCAAATTCAATAGTCTCCGCCCCTTTTTACGTTTTAATTTCTGCCACCAGTTGGCAGCATCGACTTATACAGGCACATTGACTAACTATTAATATATAAACAAGGGTATTAGGCTATGGACTAGTCCACATATCGTCGTTAAAAACACCTAAAATAAGGGAATATCATTTTTTTAGAACTTTTTAGTATAGCGAATTATGCAGAGTAAATAAATGACTTTATTGTCAAAAAAAATTACAATTTGTAGACAAAGGTAAAGTAAACAAACAAA